ATAGATTGACTAATGTCGAAGTGAGAGGCAGAACTCGCTGTTTTCTGATATAGGATGAGGCATTGCGATCCAATGTAAAAAAGTGTCAGCTGGAGAATTTTGGTGCTATTGAAAGATTTACATTAGCCGATGAAGTTTTGAGTGAACATAACAACTAAAAAGATGTGTTTTCTAGATGTGTCAATAGACTTTATTTACATCATATCAGATCATTCTTGTATTGACAAGATCATCCATTTTTAAAAATTCATCTATCTTTGATTCTACCCGTGAAATGCTACTAGTTACTATAACAATGACTTTTTTTTGTGTTTTAGTAATTATTACGGTACTGGAGATTCTGTTATTCGTCAGTCTACTAATGATGAGCAACATCCTTCCACATCGTCAGGCAATGGTCATATTCGACCATTAGAAAAAGGTACGTATATAGTAATAGTTGTTTTATGTAAAGTTCGATAACTTTTTTTTCATCTTTTTCTCATTTCAAAACGTAAGAATACATTTGGCATCAGCCTGAACATCTTTTTCTCCTATTCCTGTTTTTTTGAAAAGAACAGTTATGGGGGGCCATCTTCTTTCTTCTTTTTTTTTCTCTTTCACAGATCACCAATGTTGCTGATCTGAAAAAAGTGTAAATTATAGTAAAAAAAACCACCCTTCAGATTATATATATATATATACAAATAATTCTAATAAAAAAATAGTACCTTTTCTTTTCAAAAATTTGAGCTAAAGAAAAGTAAATGTTTGGGTGATTGAGTGTCATTTATCAATAGTAAACACCTAGTAGTACGAGAAAAAGTAAGTTTTCAAAGTATCACTTCTTCCTATCTTGGATTTTCAAAAAACTATGGATTTTGAATGCAAGGAAAAAAGGCTTTCTTGGTTGATTTTCATATAAAAATAACTAGAATTAATTTAAATGTAGATAATTATAAGTTTAAAAGTGTGCCCTATCTATAAATGTAATCAAAAGAAAAGTTTCGTCAAACTCTGACAATCGCTCGTGTTCCAAAACCTACAGATTTCCAAAAAACACCTTTTTTGACGCGTTGAACGCTGTGTATGTACATCCTTAATTCTCCATGTTTGAAACTTTTATAGTAAAAAGTTGGCTTTATTCACGCGTCTAGCATTACAGTTACAAAAAAAATGGTTACGTGACGAAGGTAGTTATGGAACATTTTCTAGTAATTTCTAACTTCCTCCCTAAAAAAGCAATCTCAGCTTTGCCATTTTTATAAAATCATCGTATGGTCAAACTATATTTACGGTAAAGAAAGAAACTTTCTACCATGTCCAGTTGAGGAGGACCGTAGTGGGTAGTTACGGGACAATTTGTTGGTCAAATCATCCTAGAATTAGTACAGTTCGTTAATGTCAACAACTTTTTGGAAAAAGGAAGCATTGGTGAATAAAAATAATAATACTGATGAATACAAGGAAGATAATGCTACAAGTTAAAGAAAAAAAAAAATGTATTATCCCTTGAAAGGTAGAAAAGAAAGTAAGTTTCCAGAATGAGTGACTTTTGAATAGTGGTGTTAGCCAATACACTTTTAGTCGTCATCGACGTGAAGAACGCAAAAGAAATTTGCACCCGGCGGCGGGCGTAGGATTTATTTCGTCAGAAATTTCGAGGTTCGGCGGCGGCGGCACACGGGTCTTTTGCAAAAGAATTGCTGTGTCGATGGCGCGGCTAACACCTCTACGTGTGAATCGCAAGAAAGTGAACGCAATAATAACGGTCAAACATAGATGTTTTGCTTATAACTCATAAATGAATAGAGATGAAACAATGATAATTGCAGCAATTATAGACTTAATATTGATGAATATTTGTGAGAAGTTTGAAAGTGTTTGATTAAGCCTAAAAGGAGAAACGCTTGGAACCATTTCAATCAAATGGTACTAAGGTATTTTAATCAGAATCACCCATATATACGGGTAGACTAAATGTACTCTTGTGTAAGTAGCGAAAGACAACGAACAATTGAATTTTTTTTGAATGTTTTCAAGAGTCATTATTTTTTCCTCCAAGTGTTTAACACGTGTGCGATATTATTGGAATCAAAATGATTTATAACTTATATATGTCAATAAAGCGCATTACTTTTTCTCTCGCTGACGCACTCCTCTCTGTAATATCGTCAGAAAAAAAATATGAACATCAGAGATACAAATTCTTTTTGACAGTTTTATTTGTTTTTACTTCATCAAAACAACAACAACAACAACAAAATAAGGGTTATCTATCTATTCTTTTTTTTCTCTATGAAGGACATAGAACGAACGAATAAAAATTTATATTCATCATTAATTTCTATTCAAATACCTCTCATAATTAATATATTTGGCAAAATGTAAGACAACTATCGAGCTAAAAAATCGCTCAAAAATTGATGCTTATTTGTATCTAATCGAGAGTATTAATTGATTTGTATTATCAAATATACAGAAGTCTAATAAATTCATACAATTTTGACAGAACAGGAAAAACAAGTCCGATATATGTAGTTGAATTAAATTTTTTCTTTGATTAACATTAAAGTTTGTAAAGGTTTATGTTTTGTTATTATTTTCGCGCAAACTTCTCACGTTATGTATACGTTTCTCCGATGATACGCTTCAATTAATTATTCTTCCTGCATGATTCATTGAAACAAGCGCAAAACATGTGATTCATTTTGTTCACTACTCTCACTTTTTTTTCTCGTATTTTATTAGCAAATAGATCGTTGTTTTATTATTATTCTAACGGATAATCTAAAAAGTTTCTGAAACTTTCTTAGAAAGTTCCCGTTGAATTTCTGTCTTAAGGATGAGTAGAAAAATGATGAACAATTGACTATTTTCAAAGAAGTTCCCTTTCATGTTTTTCCCTCGAGAAACTTTTTGTTAAAAATCGTCGACTTGAGCAAAAATAGTATATTGTTAAATTGTAAGTGGATAATTATTTTCGTTTTTTTAGCAGATGAATGAGATCACTTTACTATTATGTCCAATATATTTCTCTTTTATAGTCGAATGATTCACTTCTTATTATCATCTAATAGAAGCAAATAATAGAAGTAAATTTGTTTTCAACTCTATCGTTCTATTCATGATTGAAAAATGATCTATTCATATAAACAGTACATAAAAAATTAACTTTTGTTAGACAATTGTACAACACCTTGCTATTGTTAAATATATTGTATAAATTTTGTCACACCTTACTTTCTTCTATTTTATTTTTCATTTCAATATATGTTATAATCATCCTTTTTTTTTAAAAATATGTTTTTCTGCATTCAATCTCATATGTCATGTATGTAATAAAAGAAGAAACAGATGAGCATAGAACCTATAGTTAAAAATCATGCGATATAGATGAATTATTTTTTTTGCTATATAGATGTATAATGTCAATTTAATTTCTTATTCAACTAACGTCTCTCTATATATACATATATGTGTGTGTGTGTGTTTGGCAGGGAGGATTCATTGATACGTAGTACAAGTGTTGAATAATATACGAGTAACTGAAAAAAGAAAAGTATTTCTGTTTTTTTACTGCCATAATAATAAATTGATTTAAGATTTTTGAGTATAGAATGGACTAATGTTATTTGTTTTTTTCTTCCTCAATATCAAATTAACTCTAATAATAAACTAATTTTCTATTTCTTTTTATAGATTTATCGCCATCTATATATAAAGACATTAATTTTCAATCATCAACATCCCTTTTAAATGATTATTATCTTCTTCATCATCAATTTCAACAAAAACAAGAAAATCAGCAAATAAATCGATCAAAATTGAATAGTCCATTAAAAGACGATATATCAACAATAAAAAATATATGTAGTACAACTTATTCATTAAATGATAGTCTTGATTCAAATATTGAAATAATGGAAATAAATGAACAAGAATGTATATTTGAAATTGTTGACGGTGTATTAACAATTGTGCCAAAAGACAAAATAGAAAGTGAAAAACAGTCTACAAGTATAAATCATGTTAATGGTGAATATAATCTAAACATGGAACATCCAAACGGTAAACAAGTAGAAGATAATAGTAAGTATCCATTTATCAAGGTTAAAAATAAATTAATCGAGAGACTCGGAGGCATCATTTTGACACCTCGAAAATCGGGTTGAGATAAACTATAGCATATATATATTTATTAATGTTTTTTTTATATAAACTTTTTTATTTCGATGAAATACAAAACAAATCGAGACAATTGTCACATTACATGTTCATAGTGTGCTTAATACATGACTAAGAAATCTCAAGTTTATATCGTTACTGTAAAGATGACGGAGAAGAAAACATATACGAGAAGAGTGAGAAAAACCACATTCAGCTGAGATCCCACATGTAAAAGCAAAAGTCATAGGAATAAGCGCGAAATGGAAGTTTTTGGTAGCACAATGGAATTGTGAAGATTATTTAAAACTGGCGGTGTTAGCTATAAATTGACATACTGCTTCATATATTTTGAAATAATTAGTTTTCTTGAAGGATGATCTTAATAGAAGAGCATTTTTATTAAATGGAATATTTAGTATTTTAAATTGATTAATCAGAACGTTTCTATGAGAAGAATAGTTAGAGCAATCAAATAGAAAATGATTACAGTCTTCTTTAAAAGATATTGATGGAAACAGAGATAAACAGTGGAGGCAGTAGGGAGATGTAACACATTTTCTTTGGAAGAGATAAGAGTTATTATTATTTATGTTCTTCTTGAGCCAGATGAACAGTAAACTGCGTGATACCCAACCACTTTTCCGAAGGGTATATCGAACGCTCGAAAATATGTTTTCGATGGGCAATCACCGAGGGCTCGACCACTCGAAAAATGAGACTTCGGACCCTCGATATAAGCCTTCGAGGGGTTATAGATTTTGAACCCTTGCATATCAGATAGGTAGCGTGTCATCAAGAACAATTCCGAGCCGTCGAACAGAGTTCGAGACTTTCGATCCCTCGTCGTACTGTCGGACGAGCAAAGGCTCGGAAGCCCCGAATATCGTCCCTTTGGGCGACGAGGGTTCAATAGTCCCGATCATCTCTGTTCGACGGCTTGGAATTGTTCTTTCTGACACGCTACCTATCTGATATACAAGAGCTCAAAATCTAT